AATAGAATTATTTATAGTTATTCTTAAGAATATTATTCTGAGCAGGTAGTTTAATATTACACATTTTCGAGTCCTATTGGAAATGAATAGGAGAAAATTGTAGTTATTGTACCATAGTGAAGTAATCAGTTAATACGAAATTATGATTACTTCACGAAATGATAATAGAGAAATTTTTGAGGAATATACTTCACGTTATCATATAGCATATAGAAAAATAAATTATCTGTGATTTTTTCTTTGTTGAATTCTTATAATTTAGATTTATTTTTTTGTACATAATGATTTAAGAACACTGAAAATGTGACACATAGAAAATGATGAATTTATAAAAAGATAAATTATATAATCGACTTTACTGATGATTGTATAAGAAAAATATGCATATTCCATGTCACACAGCTGGAACCATTACGAAGGAAACACATAAATGGAAAAATTCAATTCCATAGTAACGTCAACAGTGGTATATATATTTTTTTAAAGAGAAGAACGCTCTTGTTACGAGGACGTGATATAATTTAAAATATTAAATATTTTTCTTTCATGATTCATTGAGTAGTTTTTGAACAATGAAATTGCCTTAACCTGTAAAGAATTAGCTGCATTAATAATAAATATACGTCCTTTATTTTTACTTTGAGCATCATAAATCGAAGAGAAGGCAATACAGAGGGGCTGGTATGATGAATCTAATAAATAAACTCCCATTAACAAGTGATCTGGAAGAAAAATCGTAAACTAGGAACATGGAAAAATGAAGTGTACTTACGATTAGGAGAGTCGAAAAGAATATCAGAATGAGACGACGTGAACAGTTAAAACATTGAGAAAAAATTCTGCTCTCAGTAGAAAAATAAATATAAGATCTATGAGAACGAAAAATTCTGTCTTGAAATTGTCCAAAGAAATAGACAAATATTGTGAAAACAAACCTTCTCAACTCTTTTTATATATGTATAACCTGAAGAACCATCTCAATATGGGTAATAAATCATTCATAAGACAAGTTTTTGAAAGATTCTGACTTTCTATATCCTTGTGCATTAGAAGTAGATTACTACATACAACAGTCACAATAGTACTGCACGCAACATATGTTTTGAACTCATATGCGTTCTTATTACCAGTATATTCCGCATTCACTGTGGTAGGTATTAGACTTGTTCGCAGTGCCCTTTCAATTCTATATAGGCTTTATGTAGTAATAGAAGGAAGGAATTTTGACATGATACCATGTGACAATCCTGAACTGTGTTATATTGTATATAGATCTTTTATGAGAATTTTATTCGCGCATAGGTAGAATCCGAACTATTAATAGATTCTTAGGTAGTGTATTATTACTTGTTTCATCATAGTAAATCCACCTGGATAAATGTAATGTTTAAGATGCACAGAAAATATAGGGAATGTGCATATGTTTCATATGTCTTTTTACATATTTTTACTGTTTTAGAACTCATTTTGAATATGTCTTATTAATACTTCGAACATTTTCCTGATAAAGTACTTACACTTGTGTTTGTTCTTATATGTAACTCTTTGGGAATATATTGCCCGTGCGTTGAAGTGACACAGAAGCGATTTATTTAGTGCCGCCTCATTTTTTGGGGGGTGAATTATATATTAAGCGCTAAGGAGACCAAATTAATTGTGATTTGCTTGTTTCTTTGGTAATTATGAATAATTCCCATGATTTTTAGTGTCTTTTTAGTTAAATAATACCAAAAGTTATGTATTACATGAACACTGTAACTGCATTGTCCCATTTTATCCTATCAAGATCTTGATCAAGGTACCATCTTAATATTTAGATGATTCTATAATAAGCCCCCTCCCATGATTATAAGCAAGGTTTGTTATTCCTAATGGATAACATGGTCACATTTTAAGTCTTTCCCTATTTCCCCGGCTATATTTTATCATTTTTCAAGTATACAAATTATCCTTTCGCAGTTCCAACACTAATAACCATACTTGTTGGAGTCTATTATGATAGACATTATGTAGCAATGGCTTATGTGCCATGTAAATCATCTCTCAACATGCACACCCTTCTTAGACATCTCTTTTATTCCATGTATATTCACCAATTGACGCTCCTTAAATTAATGCTTACGTTGTGACTCCTCATTCAGATTTCTTTTCTTTATTCTCAAGAAATTCCCAAATAACAATCATAATTCCGTTTAAAACGGGGTACTGTCCTTAGCGAATTTTCTTTCTAAATGTATATTCTCCTCCATTTATCATTTTAAACTGTTATATTATAGAGAAATACATATATTATATGATTCTATATGGCTGTGGGTAGTTAACGCGCCAAATTATGTATAACATTACAGTCACGGATACATTACTTCTGTTTACTAAATGGCATATAAACACGAATAGAAGTTGGAGTTCATTCGTCATTGTGAGGTGATTACTATTAAACAAAAGTTTCAAAGAAACAAACTAAAAAAATTGAGTTAACTCAGGATGGAAGCCACACATATATAGAACATCATCATTCCTTACAAAGAGAAATTCAAAGAAATGTACCCAATTTATGGATAAACTACGAATCTGAGTAGCTTCTATATTTCGCATAGATATCCTTGTTTTTTTGCTGGATATCTATCGACGCGATATGTATTTCACAGATTCTATATTATGGAAAACTCCGAAACGCTATAGTTCCTTTTTCTGCTCTTCATTTGGGATGGCTGGGCCGTAATATTATGAGATCTCGGTTCCTCCAAGTGAATTTGTCTGATTATAGCATTGAAGGGAAGCATAGGCTTCTCCCCTTTCCTTGGTACATTACTAATCTGCGCGATAGTTGCTGGCACTGGCATATATCTGTGGAGAATCATTCGTTTTATCACTCCTTTGTGTAACTTCTTCCACTTGACAAATCCCATTTTTAGTTGCCCCTTTTTGGAATAATTCTTGCATCGAATTCTTTCTTCGCAAATGTCCCTAAAGATTTTCTCAATTCAGCAACCTCCTTTTTGCAATTGTTCAAGAAATTCACAACTTCCTGTTTGGTCAAGTCATCCTTCATGATGAAGCTGTTGAAAAGTTTATTGTAGTGTTCTTCCTTCTTTGTTAGTACATCAAAATATCTGGACATTACTCTATTCCAATGAGTGACATCAAGTTCTTCTTTTACTCGATATCTTTCTTTCAACTCCTCGTAATATTTGAATAAAGCACTTACCATCTTGCAAACCGCCCGTTTTTCAAGAGCATATGCGTCTTCCCACACTTTGATAATCTCATTCCTTGAGGGCACCTGTTCCATATTATTCATCGGTTGGTCTACTTCTGCTCTTGTCACATCGCTAGTAAGTATAACTTGAGCTTGGTCCAATCTAGGCGAGTCAATATTACATAAGTCACTCTTCTCTTCATATTTCTTTTCAACAATTCGATCTGAATCTAAAGCGTCCTCCTCCTCATTTTCACCTAAATCCACTTCATCAGGCGCGGATAGCACATTATCATCGGATTCTGAATCGGGCGAATTTACATTTCTATCTGAGTTGCCTCTTCTGAAACATCCATTTTCATTTAACTCTGATAAATTCCTTCCTTGTATTTGTGACATCACGTTCCTGTCCAACGGAGTTAGGTTCTGGGAGGAATTTTTAAAGGGCGTTTACAAAGACAGGTGTTGTATACATTACGCATATGTATAATATTTATAGTTTATATGTATGCCCCGCTCTCTGCATTTAAGCATCTGGAAGAAGGGTATAGAGAATTCTATATAAGAGCATAATGAAAGATTGCAACAGAGTGCGTATTATTTATTACAAAAATGTTTACTCCATATAGCTTACTGGTAGAAAAATATAAATGGCGACAACAACAGGTGCAACCAAACACGAGGGAAAAAAGAATTTTCGCGAGTTAAGACCATGTGATCTTCCCTCTGCAGCCTTACTCCTGCAAGAGTATTCTTCCTTTGTTTCGCTAGTCTCCGGTGAGCAATGGTCAGCCCAAGCGGAATTGGATTTTCTGACAGAAGCCATAGTGGTTTAATTCAATTTTTCTGGTTTATAAAGTATAAAGAGCAGGTTGGCATTACGTGCGCGCAATTTGTTCTAAATTTATAACAGAGGCCGGTTGCTTCAGCTTATCATAAACTAGGTTAAAATAGCTTGAAAGATATACAAATATGCTAATCCATGTTAAAATATGATATAAATCTCTTGAAATATCTTGAAATATGTTAAAATACGTTGAATATATTCAGATGTGGTAAACTACGTTAAGATATGTAGTAAAGAGTACTTCATAGAAAGTTTCGAAACTTAAGAAATTTTAAAAAAAGCAAAGGAATTTAATTAAATAAATTAAGACATCCCAGAAAATTTCTTTAACCAATAAAAAAAAAAAAGAAAAAGAAAAATGTCATAGGAAATGTATAAAATTTATTTCTTGACTGACACAGGATGCTGGTCGAAATATTCATGAAACAAAACGGCCTGCATTTCCTCCCTCTAAGCAAGATGGCAGTCTTACCTATTACATGAAAGTTCCCTCTGTGTATAAGATATTGTTACAGGCCATTCTGTTTTCTAAAATTTGCAGAATAGGGCATATAAAGAGAGTTCTCTAATATTTTTCTGTACATTCGATGCTAGTAATTTCAGAAGATTATAACTACCTCACAAAGGCAGCGTATACATTATAGCACCGGCGACCCTTTTGTTCATGATACATTCTGTACGTATACAAACACAACTATTATTTTTACATTTCAGTTTACGATAAAATTGTACTTTTCCCTTATTATACATGGTAAAGCACCAACAAGGACAAGGTTTATTCTCATGCTACCCGTTCCTTTGCCACTGAGCCATAGTCAACAGAATGAAGATGACCTTTAATTTAAATCTGGAAGATTTAAAAGAACGTATTAAATTATGTACTATTGATAGGTGCTACTGCAGAGCAGAATAAACCACTGTTTCGATCAAATTCTACTATCATGCGGAGTCCACATTTTTTTTTTTTCTTTTTTTGTTCATAATGTAAACGTCTTATAGTTCTATTTCAGCGAAGAAATGGTGACGCCATAAAGGTCTCTTTTTTTTTTTTTTTTTTTTTCTGAACAGAATAATCCAAATTGTACGGCCCCCTGCTTCATTGTTGGTTTGGTAGTTGTTAGCAATTCCTTCTGGACCTCTTTCCATGTAAAAGTCTCTCATTGCGGCCATTTACAATAAATTATATATGAATAATGAAACCATGAATGGAATTTGTACGAGTCGAAAACATATTATATAAACATTATGCTAAATTTAAAAAAAAAAGATCAAGCATAGTACCATTATTGACATCTGATGTCACTGTAGTTTGGCTAATTTATATGTGTATATTGATTCGAGGTGTTGTATTCCTACTTCTATTTTAAAATTGAAGGAATCTTCACTGGTATTATACAGCCTCAAGGCATCACTTCCATTCTAAACATCCATTTTATAGGAGCAAGGAAACAAATCACCATGAAAAGAAATGAATTTTTTAAATCTTTACTCGAATTAAGGAGTAAAATACAAAATCCCCCCTCAACAAATTCAAGACATAATCGTAAAATTCTATTCGTAGCAGGCTATGCATATCATGTACGTATAAATGGTTCAGAGGAAAGAAAAAAACATTAACAGAGTCTAAAACATCCGATGATGAGTCTCATATCCTGATATAAAGAAACCCAAATTGACCAACTTTACATATAAATTTAATTCACTGCCTCCTTCAAAATAAGCACAGCACATATATTTGTCTATCAATGGCTAAATACCGTTTCATGGTAAAAAATACAGTCACGATGCCACTTTTGCATCGATCATTGCTGAAACGGTGGTGTATAATCCACTTGGCTCCTGTTTCCAATAAAGAAGACTTTATCAGATAATTGTATATATAAGCATATAGGTACAAGAATATTTATTCCTCCTATTGTTAGCATCTTATATATGCATATACATGTGTACCTACCGCTAAGCGTGTTTCTCTCAACGGTTATCTGTGGGGTCTCACCATGAGTATCCCTGACTCGAGTACACATCTATTTAACTGAAGGTCCTCCATAGTAACTAGCTCATTTATGAATAAGGTAAACGCTTTCCTATGCACATTTATAAAAGAGTCAGGATCGTACTCGGGCAAATTATCCTTTATGGCGTAGTAGAAAAACAGCCTATTGTGATACTCCTCCATGATCCTGAGGGTTGTGTGAATAGTATGATTGCTCCTCTGCACGTGTTCCACCTCAATGTTTCCATCCACGCTATACGGACTTTTTAATTTTCCCAAATAATAGGATAAATGGTCGTTCAAGGTGTGCATCG